ACTAGGATCATAGCTGAAATGTTATTTTACTAAACTGAGTTTTTTCTGGGTTTTTGGGCTTGGAGTCTAGTATGATTACTAACTAGTTTCTGTTTTGGCTTGGAGTACTAGGTGAGCTTTTATGCTTTAGCATCCTTACATGTGTGTGAGTGACTGCCATGATAGCATGCTTACTATGAGGCTAATTGCTTATATGATATAACTGCCTAAATGCCTGTGGGTGAAGGTTGGGTTATCTGAATTGGAACAATTCATCAAATGTTTGTTTTAAGCCCACTAGATAGTGGCAAAACCATCTTTTCTAAGCCCACCCGAGGGTGGCAAATTCACGTCTTAGCTTACTTGCGAGTAGCACCATCAAACCATTTTCAAACAAACAACATGAAATGTTTTTTTCCAATTTAGGCGATCCAGTCTATACTTGTATGCTGTGCGCATCACATAGTAATCTAGGCTAATAACCGAAATAAGAACACACAATGTTTTCAAAACTTGATATCATGGTTAGTAGAGGCCGATCTTTGATCGGGCGAGCGGGGGTGCTCACGAAGTGACCTTCCCCAATCGTACCCAAGTTCCCGAGCCGAGGCAACTTTGGTGATGGACGGCACGTGGGCCTTTGCGCACGAGTCGGGTTCCTAAATTTCCCCCATAAAAATATTTAGGTGAGGCCGACTCTGTATCTGGCAAAGCAGTCCATGTTTGGCACTTCTTTTCTAAAAATCTGTTTTCTCAAAACGATTTGTCGGATTTGGACTCTTTGGTTCAGATTAAAGAACCGTGACACAAATCGAGTCCGAACTGTAGCGGGGTCCCTCGCGGCCGTGTTACAGAAACCTGTTAGGATTTACACCTTTGCTTGATGGTTACACCACATTTTCACCTTTCACATGAAACGTGTTAGGATTTGATGTTTACTTGGTTAAAACCTTCCCCCTCTCCGTATGAGATACGATTAGGTATGCTTGTTGGTTACGTCACCTTTGCTCATTTCACATGAAACGTGTTAGGATTTTCACCTTTGCTTGTTGGTTACACCACATTTCACCTTTCACATAAAACGTGTTAGGATTTGATTTTACCTTGTTAAAACCTTTCCCCTTTCCTTATGAGATATAGTTAGGTACGCTTGTTGGTTACACCACATTTTCACATTTCATGAGAAACGTGTTAGGATTTGATGTCTACCTGGTTAAAAACTTCCCCATTTCTGTATGAAATACGGTTAGGTATGTTTGTTGGTTACACCATATTTTCACCTTTCACGTGAAATGTGTTAGGATTTGATGTTTACCTCGTTAAAACCTTCCCCTTTTCCATATGAGATACAGTTATGTATGCTTGTTGGTTACACTAAATTTTCACCTTTCACGTGAAACATTTTAGGATTTGATGTTTACCTGCTTAAAACCTTCTCTCTTTCCGTATGAGATACAATTAGGTATGTTTGTTGGTTACACCACATTTTCACTTTTCATGTGAAACGTGTTAGAATTAGATGTTTACCTTGTTAAAACCTTCCCCTTTCCGTATGAGATACGATTAGATATGCTTGTTGGTTACACCACATTTTCACATTTCACGTGAAACGTGTTAGGATTTGATATTTATCCAGTTAAAACATTCTCCCTTTTCGTATGAAATACCACTAGGAACAGCTATTGGTTACACAACTATACCTCCTCAAGTTCATTATTTTCTTCTCTCGCGTGAAATGCATTTGGATCTTAGGTTCACTATTTCTCCTCTCACGTGAGATGTGTTTGGATTTTGAGTTTACCTTTCTTCGATCAACTGAGTTGTGGCACATTTAATGCAATGATATGGCACACTTGTATGCAATGCACTCTCTTTATTATTTGTGTTGTGGCACATTTATATGCATTATACCCTATGTTATGCTTTATATCATTTGCACAAGGCTTGTCTCATATATTACTAGCTTCATATCTTTGTCATCACGCCACAACATTGAATCCTATTACATAATCATGAATTTTCAAAACAACCGGCTACGCAAAGTGTGTGAGTCCAACTTTCAAATTGTAAGCCAAGCATGTCATTTGCATTCTGTCCCTGAACTACGCTGGTTTGATTCTTTCCAATGGGATGCGTAGGCAACCTTCAGGTTCAACCACTTGCGTTGCATCTTGTTTGTTTGCTCGAATCTTACGGCCTTGTCAAAAGGGTTGTCTTCGAGCTTTGACATTCACTCACGTCATGAAATGACTCCGAGCTCTATCAAAGAGGGAAACTGTAGACACCCCATTTTAACCAGCTCTAAGACTTGGGCGCTTTCTTTTGACCGCCTTATGATGAATAACAAAAAGGTGTTTCTCACAAAATCCTCAATAAGAAAAATGGAATTTCGTTTTTTCTCAAAAATCTTACACCCATTTTGGCCAAACTATTTTAGACCTTAAAACCCTCTTTTCAAAATATTTTTCCAAATGTTTCTATGATGTTCCGAGGCTCCCATTTCGATTAAACTATTGCACTTTTCAGTAAATCGAGTAAGTACAAAGTGGAGATAAATGGAAGGGAGGTGAACTCTTTGAAAAATATTTAAAAACATCTTCTTTATAGGTTTGGAGTTGAAGGAAATAGGAGGAGATGGAAGAAAACTAGTTTAGGAAAAGGATGAGCATCAAATCGTTAAGAAATAAATGAACAACCTTTACTAAATTAGGCATATATATTTGTAAACTTGGAATTTAGATGTTAGGCCACTACCATTGGAAAGTAGACTTCTGATGCTTCAATTTAGACTCAAGAATCACCTAAACCGAGTCCGGATAAGAGAGATATGGTCGTTTGAAATTGGGCTTAAGAGCATATTTTATTGACCCGGCCCGCGACAGTAGCAGACCCTTTTTTTTTTAGTTTTGGTTCGGTTGGGACACCTCATTGACTCATTTTATGATCCATTCAAGTGCACCCACTCATCCTCCATTATGTCCACTTACCCTCTATTATCAAAAGAGGTTTTGGCCTTGTCATAACAGATGAATCAAAAGTAACAAAGTCTTAATCATCATTATCATCCTTGTCATCCCCAACACCTTTGTCTTCCACCTTGTCCCCCATTCCTTGACTTTTTTATTCCTTCATGGCTTATACATTCAGATTGTATATTAAACAGGGAGAGGATGGAATGAGAGAAGAAGAACATCATTCAAGAGAGTTAGAGAGAAAAGAGAGCAAAAGAGAAAAAATTGTCTAAATTGCAATCTTGAGCCGAAACACTTCCAAGCTTCCATAGCTATTGAAATTCCTTATTTCCATACACCAAAACCACTCCAAAAATTTTGATATAGCCAAAGATCAATTGCCTTGATCATAAGGAAGGGTGTTTACTGATTGAAAGTGAGAAAAACTAGAGAGTTAGCCACTTTCCATACCATAAACTCCATAATTTCGAATTGGGGATTTGAGAACACACTTCCTACACGTGAGGGTGATCAAAAGGGAGTTTGTGAACTAAGGAGTTCATCCTTTCCTTGGAAGGTGAATTTCAGAAACTTCTCATTTTCTTACATTTCTTACTTATTTTGCTCTTTTGCTTTGATTTCTTGTTATGTTATATATTTTTGTAATCTAATTGAAAGTGGTGAGTTGAGACTCTCATATATATTGCTTTAGTTCTGTTATTGTTGTGGAAAATCCAAAAAAAAACAGAGTTTGGCCAAGCCCACCGGGCTACCCGGCCGGTTAGTTGGCCGGGTAGCCACCTAAAAGTACACCATCGCACCCACGACCTTCATGACCGTGCCTGCGACCTCTAGGCAAAACCAACAGCCTTCCGACGTTGAAAAGAACAACCTCCAATGGTCTTTGAGGCGCTTGAAGCTGTTATTTTTTTATGTTTATTTTATTTTGAGTGTTTGTGAGGATTTTTATATTGTGTTGTAATATTTATTCATCTCCCTCGGATTTGTAATATGTAAAGTGTTGTAATAATTATCCATCCCCACTTCTTATCTATCGCATTCTTTAATCAATTTCCCTAACTGTACATATGTATATATCTTGCATGCCATGCATATCCATGCTTTTATATGCATGATTCATGCCTAGATCTGGCTAAATTTGCATATTTGAGCTTTAATTAATTATTACCTGATTTTGTGCGCTATCGCATGTTTTGCAGTGTTTCACATGTCATGTTTTAGAAACTGGATCTTTAAAAGCATTCTTGTGTTTATATTGCATTAGGATTTTGTATATAGGATTATGCATATTTTACTAACTTTGTTTTGTAACTGTTCACGGGACGTCGATAAATATATAAATTGTTATGCTTTAGCATCCCGCTTGTACATAGTTTTCTTATTATGTTTAGCATCCTACCATGTGGCTATTTGCTTATGTGGTATATCTCCATGAATGCTAATGGATGAAGGTTGTGTCGCTTAATTTGGAATGATATTGATTTTCATGTTGTAAATTCAATTTTTTTGAGTTATGCATCTTCAAAACTCTTTCAAAAAACACATGAACTCAAATTGTTCCAAGATGAATGACATAGTCTATACTTGTATGCTTCACATAGTAACTTTTTAGGATCTATTAAATAAATCGAAATATGAACATATGAAGCAAGTAAAACTCATATCATGGTTTAGTAAAGGCCGATCTTTGATTGGGTGAGCGGGGGTGCTCTTATTGACCTTCTTCTCTCATACCTAAGATTCTGAACCAAGCATCTTTGGTTATGATGAACAGTGGCCTTGGCACGAGTCATGAGTTTCCTAATTTTCTAAAATATTAGGTGGCAACTTTGAAATCTGATGACATAATCCATTTTTGACAAAATTGCAATAAAATGGATTTTCAATAAAAGTTTCCAAATTTGGACTCTCATCTATGTTTCACATTTCATTTGTGAGACTAGATCGCAGAGATCTCGAGAGCCCAAACTGTTTAACGCGCACAGGTACCCCTGGGTGATGTTACAAGAACATATTAGAAATTCTAAAGTAGAAAAAACTAAATCAGTAATGGCTTCAACAAAAGCAGAGAAAAGAACTAAAATTCATAGTAGTTATTCAAAATCCTTAGCATCATGAAGAATATCCAGCATATAACATATTATCATCACACAACATAACATAATTATAAGGAGAAAGAGCAAGAATTATTGCCTACCCAATCTCTCACTAGTCCCAAAGCAACCAATTACCGAGTTAGTGCACAAAGGTTGAGGTTATAGATTGTCACAAATCCAACAATGTGGCTTATGACATCCGAGGCAGAAGACTTTTTTGCTCACCGGATGTACTGTAGAAGCATTTCCAGGAACGACATTTCCATAGAGAGAGAATTGTAATTGGGATGCTGCTCCACTAGTTGATTGGCTACTCTTCTCTTCTTCCTCCTTGTACACAAGATGGACTCCAACCTCCTTCACTTGAAAATCTTCATTTCCAACCACTGAAATATTCAGTTCATCCCCACCTTTCAACTGATTTTCAAACTTCCAATAACTTAACCACATCATATCCTCATCAGCTTCTGGAATGCCAATGACATTTGGGGAATGGCTCCAAATCAGACTATTGGTTGTATTATTGATAATAGTATGTGCGTCACAATCATGGTCAAGATATTCTGAATTATTGGAAAGTGCATAAATAGAACACACACTCAAGGCTTGAATTCTGAAATGCGATGGCACTTTAAAAGATATTGAAGATCCTGTATTTTTAATATTAAACCAAGTTGGAATCTTGCTTTTCGGAAGATAAGCGTAAAACATGTGTTCTTCATGACATCCCTGTACCAAAGAAACCATAATTTAACCTTACAATTTTTATTATTTTTATTTTTATTTATTTTGAGAGAGAGAGAGAGACCTGTAGGGGAAGCTTCTTTTGATTCTCTAAGTACATCTTTGAAAGCATAACAGTTGGGCTTCCCATGGATCCAAAATTGGGCAAGCCCAAATTATTCATTATCTCCACATCAATATTCCCTATGGGTTCTAACTTAAATGCGCCCACGACCTCGACTATATTGTCGCACATATCAAAGAATAGTAATGGTCTGCAATGCTCCATCATAACAAATTGATTCTCCCATGAGTCATTATATTGCATCGTTAATGGAGCTGAATAAGATCTACATTTTGAGTTGTAAAACTCTTGCAAATTCTGCAACTTTATATATGCATCACGAAGGTTCTCGAATTCTATGGTTGATGATGAAAATGATTGAAATGCAACTTTCTCCAACAATGTACATTCAATGACCGACAATACTTTCAAATTCTGCTCCACTATAAGTGATTGAAGCCTTTTACACTCTTCTAATACAAGGATCTGAATTCCAATAAGACCTCTGATGCAATTCGGGAGGCTACAAATTGGATTATTACTCAGATTTAATATCTGCAATGAGGATAGGTTGCTAAGATCCTTGCTACAAAATGGATTATTGCCCAGATTTAATATCTGCAATGAGAATAGGTTGCAAAAATCCTTTGGAAAAGCATCCTCCGATAATTTGCAATCGACAAGACTTAAGTGTACCAAATACCGTGGTAAAAGAGTACATGAAATTTCTACACTTTTTCTTGGTTTCAATAGAGAAGGCCAGATGAATGAATACCATGGTTTGACCTCCTTAGTGGTAGAGAGTAATGGACTTACGACAGTTCCATTTGCATTAAACTTTGTTAAAGAATCCATAGTCCCCATCTCTATTGGCAATTCCTTAATATTTGAGCAACCTGAGATGTCAAGAGTTTCCAAAAATTTTAGCATAACAATGCTTCTTGGAAACTTCCTTAGATTTTTGCAATTTTTCAAATTTAATAAAACAAGTCTCTGAAGGTGTCCAATAGATTCATGAACCTCTACCAGCCTTGCACAATTTTCAAGTATTAGTCGCTCAAGATTGGGTACTTCCAAGAAATCAGGAGTTTCGGAAAGGCAATGGGAATAACTAAGATCAAGGATTTTTAATGACTCGAGAAACTGTAATAGAAAAAAATGTTGGTTATTGTTTCTTTTAATTCTCAAACAAAATTGAAATGAAAACAAACAAATGAGTAACATACCTTGGTTCCTTCCCAAACCTTTTGCAAGTTGCTATACGGCATCTCAAGAACAACCAGGTTATCCAAAGGGAAATCATCACATATAGAGTTGAAAGAGAATCCATGCCAACACAACCATCGTAATCCTTTCGGAAAATTTTCAAAGCTTCCATTGACTTGTAAATTTTTGAGTTGCAAAAGTTTTAGTTTGTGCATCCCAAGTTGCTATACGGCATCTCCAGAACAACCAAGTTATCCAAAGGGAAATCATCACATATAGAGTTGAAAGAGAATCCATGCCAACACAACCATCGTAATCCTTTCGGAAAATTTTCAAAGCTTCCATTGACTTGTAAATTTTTGAGTTGCAAAAGTTTTAGTTTGTGCATCCTTGCAAATGCATCAACTTCCAAAGCTATCTTATATGAATTTCGTAGAGCAATGCCTACTGTCTGCCAGGAGAAGATGCCAAAACGACGTCTTTTAAATGAATTTCCTACATTTGACATCAAAGATGTGCTAGGGAATTCTTTAAAATGACATTTTTTATTGACACCAATGACTGTCTTGTCATATTTATCTTCCAAAAAGTTCATATCAAGTATAAGGCCTTCAATTTTTCCTGTCCCCTAATAAAGAATAAGAGGGAGATGACATTGATCAAGAAGAGTAATGTTATACCCCAAAATATATATATATATATATATATATATACAAAATTCTCATACAAAATTATGTAACTTTCATTTAAAAAAAAAAAACCACCAATGTAAATGATTTTTTTTTTTTTTTTTTTTGGGTTTGGTTCATCAATTGTTAATAGGCATCTATCAATGAGATTTTGAATCCCAACTGTTGTGTAAAAATCACATCCATCTAGAATTGTAACTACCCAATCTTCATCCATCCCAACAAAGAAACAAGCAACATGGAGGAATAAATTTTTGTCGTGGTCATCTTGTAAAGAGTCATAGCTTATTTTGAGTTTTTCAATGACTTGATAATTAGGAATCGCTTTCAATTTCTCCAATTGACTTTTCCAGACATTTAAGCTTTTCCCTGACAGCGAAGAACCCAAAATTTTTATAGCTAATGGAAGCCCTCCACAGTATTGTATCACCCTTTCTGAGACCTCTATGAAACCATCAATGGGACGATTTTGTCCAAAGGCATGCCAACTAAAGAGCTCTAAGGACTCACCAAATTTTCAACCTTGTGAATGTGGCAAACTTTCATGAGCCCTTAGCAACCGCTCATGTTTAGTGGTTATGATGATTTTACTACCTTGAAAAATTCAATCTCGCATTCCAAGTATTGCATCTAGTTGGTCTATTGTATCCACATCATCAAGAATTATAAGAACTCTTTTGCAATGTAATGCATCTTTAATTTTAACAATTCCTTCTTCAACATTATACAACTTTTTCTTTCTTCCCTGTAAAATATCTGAAAGAAGTTGTCTTTGTAATTGAAGTAAACCATTTGGCTGTTTTAGAGTTTCGCTTACATTTGCAAGAAAGCTGCTTTCTTTGAACTTTGAGAAGTTCGAATTATATAGAAATTTGGCAATGGTTGTCTTTCCTATTCCACCTATCCCACAAATTGCGACTATACCAACATCACTAGACCCATCTCATAACCAAAGCCCAATATTTCTGGCTCGAGAATGTATTCCAATCAAGTAGGGGGAATTGCCTAAGATTGTGCGTCTTAGTTTGTCTGAAACAACTTCTACAATTTTGTGGATAAATTTTGACTCGATTCTAAAGACAAGATCAAGGTTAAAAATAAAAATGCAATGACTTGAAATTAATTATAAATTCTCATGCAATAATGAAGAAGATGACTATGTTATTTAGGCCAAGTTTGGCTACTGCCAAAAAAGTGCACTTATTTTATCTTTTTATCTTTTTTGGGTCACATCAATCAACATCTCCTCTCTACTTTTTCTACATATAATACAAAAAAAGTCAAAAAGTGCACTTATTTAGTCTTCCCAAACTAGGCCTTATTGTCTTTTTTGAAACAATTAGACGAATCCTAGATGAAAAAAAAAAGGGAGGGGGGATGGGGGGCTTTTACAATCATCGTTTTGGATCAATACTATTTTTTCTAATATAAATTGTTTTCCCTGTTTTGCATTTTATGAGAATATAGTAAGCTTATAAGTTATTAAATTTTTTAAGAATAGTCTAATTTTTTTCAGTGAAATTTTAGGACTAATAATACCAAGACCCCTCAATTATTGGTAAATATATATGATTTATCACCTCAACTACTAAAAGCATATCACTTTCATCTTTGTACGGTTTTTATAATTGAAGGAATCAATATATATAAGTTCATAAATAAAGTAAAGTAATGCGAGCTATTAGTTAATGGGGTCTATCTTGGTGTGATTAACCCAAATTTTTATGATTGAAAATGAACAACTTCATGTGATCTTTTCAAATAGCTTGAAAGGGAGAACCATCTCAAAAAATCATAGTTAATAAATCCAAGTTTTATTTGGGTATTATGAAGAACTTCCTGTGAACCTGTACCGATTTGAAAAGAAACCAACTGGATGTTCCTTCAAGGACAATTTAACTTCTACATTTGAGGTTATATTTTAAAAATTAAAAGATGTCAAACTCTTGGAATTTAAAATAAATAAATAAAAATTCATCCCAAATTTTGATCAAATAATTTTTAATCTAAAAGGCCCTCATAAGAAAAATACTTTTAACTACAAAATCCCAAAAAAGGGCGATGCAAGTAATGCTTAGCTAAAAGAGAAAAATTACCCGTCAGCTTGATTTTGTAAATCCATCCCTGCTAAATCTGCAGCTTCTCTGAGTGCTGCTCTCCATTCTTGTATCTTGCCCTTCTGTTCATCTTTTTTTCCAGCTCCTTCTGTATGGAATCTCTCTTCATGCCTCGTGAATGCTTCTTCGAAACTTTCCATTTGGTTCCTCACATGGGATGGATCCACGTGATAGAAGACAGGTAGCACTACATGCCCAGTAGTCCTTCTACGTTTGAGGATCATCACAAGTTCATCAAGACACCAGCTCGAAGAAGCATAGTTTTTTGAGAAGACAACTATTGACATCCTCGACTCTTGAATTGCTTTCAGCAATTCAAACTTCATATTTTCTCCTCTTTCAATCTCGTCATCATCTCTAAAGGTGCGAAATCCACTATGATTTAAAGCTGTGTAGAGGTGGTCAGTGAACGTCTTGCGAGCGTCTACACCTCTGAAACTCAAGAACACATGATAACTACATGGAGAATCCGAAGAAGAGGCATCTTGGGCTCCAACAATCTCCATTGGATTAAAGCTCCACAAAGAATTAACAACAGAAGAGCTATGAGATGGGATTAATGCTATATGTCAAGGCATCATATATGTTTTATAAGAGATGTGACTATACATATATAACCATATATCTAAAAAGGTAAGGAAATGCTACCATAATTTACCCGTTGATTTATGATTTATCCTGGAAGCTTCAAAGCGAGTGTGAATGGGCATTTTAAGGACACCTGTGTGCGGACATTTTCGGCATGGAAGAAGCTGCTTGGAAGTTGGGGTTACAAATGTGTGGGAAAAGTGGTGGGATAAGCAAGGTTGGACAAAAATGCTGAGAAAGTGGGGATTTTTATTTTTATTTTTATTTTTTTACCAAATTCAGTATATTTAACATAATTTTAAAACTTGAAAGGGTCCATTTTATAATACACTTTTCTTTTTCTTGTTTTTGGGTATATATCACATATAAGTTATGATAATTTATGATATTTTTAGTTATAACTAAAAAAATACAATGGAACATAATCAAACGTAATTTGAGACATAATAACAATTCCAATAGGTTATAACCACCCTACCAAAATGGGTCACAACACCAATTGAGCCATAACCAAAACATCTTCAATCATAACTAAAATAACAACAATAATAACTAAATTATAACTAACGCTGTAACTATTCATAATAAACACCACAATTTTATTTTTAGTGGCAAAGAAAAATTTATTTCATAAAAATACAATATATATATATATATATATAGAAAACAATTGATCAAAACCAAAGACTACAAAACTCGTAAGTGGATGTATATATATATTTTAACTTGGTATAATTGTAAGTGGACATATAGTACACCTCTTTTTTGAAATGTGTAATATGGAATTTTTTAACTTAAAGTTGTTTGGAATTTTTTAACTTAAAGTTATTTTGAATTTATATATATATATTTATATGTTATTTTGTAAAATGATATTTTAAAAATATAATTTTAAATTTTAAATTTTGTTTTCAACTTCAATTACTTTATTAAAAAAAAAAAGATCAATTGTCATCAGTGTGTTTGGTTTGAGTTTTCTAGATTAAGTTTTTTGAAAACTGAGTTTTTTAGTTTTCGTATTCTTTTATTTTTAGTGAATATTTTTTAAATTTTAAACATTTTTTTTTACTTTTTTAGATGCACCTTAGTTAGATGTATCTAAAAAGTAAAAAAAAATTATGAAAAAATATTTTTAAAAAATTAATAAATACATAAAAATACAAAAAATGTACTGAATTCTTGTAATTTTTTTTATATTTTTGGTATTTAGTGAATTTTTTTACAATTTTTTTATTTTTTAGGTGTATTTATGTTAGATGTGTCTAAAAAGTAAAAAAATTTGCTTAAAATATTAAAAAAAATTCAGTAAAAATAAAAAAATACGAAAAATAAGAAAATAAAATTTTTTGAAAAATAAAAACAAGCAAGCTGACCATGTTTTGAAAATATACTTCAATATAATATGGAAATGAGAAATAAGTAAAAAAATTACTTAAATTTTAAAAATAAATGTCGACTGCGAGCGTCTTCACCTCTGGAAACCCAAGAACACATGACAACTACATGGGGAATTGGAAGAGGAGGCCTGTTAGGCTCTAACAAGCACCACAGGGAATTAAGGACAAATGGGATGAAAGCTATCTGTCAAGGCATCATAGATATTTTATAAAAGATGTATCTATGGAATGATTTGAGAAAATAGTTAAAAGTTAATTTTTTGACTTTTAAATTTTTTTTTATTGTTTTATGTGACAAGTAATGTGACTTAAAATAAATTAAAAATTAATTTTTGACTTTTAACCCATGTTCTTAAAATGGGCCTATATCTAACCACATATCTAAAAGGAAGAACTAAGTAAAAAAATAAATAAATAAATAAAATAAGGTGAAGAAATGCCACCATAATTTACCTCTCACGCCCCACATTTTATTACTTGAAATCCATTACCAAATTCATTGAGTTTATTCAATTTCAGAGCTAACATGCAGAAACTCTTTACATCATTTATAAGAATAAATAAAGATTCTCTCATCCGAAAATGCAACATTTACATAACTAAATAAATTGCCCGCAGGCTTACATCTTTAAAATAAAAGAAAGGGTTTAACTGTTTTACATCAATGGCATTCTGCCGACAAATAAAAGGCCCCATGGCCAACATATAAAGAAGATCCTCGATCTTGAAACCCATCTCGACGTTCACCTGAAAAAGGATTAGCAACGTGGGATAAACATAGAGTCCAGTAAGGATCTCAACATGATCCTAAACAATAACAACTTACAGATAGCTATGATCATGAATGCTTAGTCTCATACTGTATAAATAATGTGACGATTTATAAAGAAATACACGTATATAAGAACTTTTCTCAAAATCATTCATTTCATTCAATAACATAAGCAATTCACTTTTCTTTCTTCTTGTTATCTTTTTCCAAAAATCATATGATTATAACAAATTTCAGAAAAAAAACAATTTCACCAAGCCCATTACGTTTTCTCTCACTTTCCATACTTACATCTGATTTGCCTTTTCAAAACATGTTCACAAGTGTTCAAAGTCTATCACATTTTTCATAATCTTAACACAATACTTACATCCGTTTCCAACACATTCATAACTATACAAATATGCCTTTAATACAAAAGGAAAACAACAAGCAATCAATAGCTATCTGCTTCAACAATTGAGGCAGTACGGCCTTCCAAAACAATAACCATCATAACCCATGATATACTCAAATACACTGAGACAATAATGATAAATAAATTTTGCTCCACCTGCCTTAAGCACGGTAAGCCAATGATACACCTTTTCATAGCAAAATGCCAATTCAAGGATACACCTTTCCATAACAAAACCCCAATTTACCAGACGCCAGTTGGAAGGTAATGGTACCTCTGCCAAGTTATCCAGGCGCTAGCTGGAAGGTACTGGTACCTCTCATTCGAAGCGCGATCAATTCTCCAGGCGCTAGCTAGAAGGAACTGGTACCTCTCATTCGAAGCGCGACCAATTCTCCAGGCGCTAGCTAGAAGGTACTGGTACCTCTCTTTCGAAGCGCGACCAATTCTCCAGGCGCTAGCTGGAAGGTAATGGTACCTCTCATTCGAAGCGCAAGCACATTCCCAACCATTTCAACATACTAAGATGCATAACAACATAAGTGTAATACATACACAACATATATGAACACATAATCACATATGGAGTACATCCCCTTTCCACTCCCAAATAGCCATACATATCCAATGTATATAGTTATAGTCATATTCAATGACAAGCACAAGTGATTAATTTCAATTCACCTAGTCCACATGCAATTTCTACAATGGTCATAGCTATCCTCCACCGATAGCTCAAAACATGTAGTTCTAAAAATATATACAATCTCCATATGGATAAACTATCCCTATTTTCATAGGTGAGAGATTTCAAATATCCAATCCCACCACTTACATTCATATCTATCCTTTTCTGCATCTAATACGAAAAGAAAACAAAAATCCAATTCTCGCATGACTTTCAGTCTAATAACAATGATATTATTTGAAGGTTCCAAGATCCGACCTCAAGTTCATTATTGATTTACAAAGGGTTATGATTTCATTTTCTTTCAAGAAGACCACTTTTCTTTATTTTTGCAATCCACACAACTCCAACCATTCTCTAAGAATTCATTCTCATCATTTTACAATACCAAAACCAAAATCTAATCTATATTCTCTTTATTTTACAAAACCAATCCCATTGGTATCAAAATCATAACTCAACACAATACCAACACTGTGGTTACTCCTCTTTTTATTTTCTTTTGATATAAACACAATTATCCAACCCATATAAGCAAAATATAAAGATTATTCAACTACCTCCTTTTTAAGCCCATTATATCAATAATATCAAATTAGGGCCTTCCCCCCTTTCTTCATAAACATGGTAAATCATCTCTCAAATTACTCACCAACAAACAATTTAACAACACCATTCACAAATATCAAACCTTAGATCCCCTTTTCATGGCTTCCAAGAAAATCCATAATGAATATGGTTTTTATGCAATAAAAACTACCACATATCTATCTATAGATGAAGTATTGGAAAGCAAAGAAATCCCTACCTCTTGAAGCGAAGAGAAAACAACCCAAAAATCACCGGCGACAAAACCACGAACCACTTGGATCAATAGAAAGCCCTTGACAAGATCTACAACCTTTCCCAAAGGACCAAGGTGAAAAGATGACTCTAGGTGAGTGGATCTAAAGATCTAAGTGCGAAAAGTTAAGTTTTAGAGAGAGAGGAGAGAAATCACGGGTTGAGAGGAAAAAGGATAGAAAATCCTTAGAGAATGAATGGCTTGGGCCTATTTATAGTATTGAGAAAAAGCCCTAAGGTCAAAAATAATAATAAGCCCAAAAACCCCCTCTATTGGGCCCATTCGGACCTCAAAAATCTGGAGAAAAAAAACACGCAGGGGTCGACCCTTAGACAGGAGGGGTTAACCCTATCTTCCAGCAACCAACACACAGACATAAAAGGGTCGACCCGCTCTCAGTCTAGTGTCTACCCTATCTTCTAGCAACTAACACACAAACATAAGAGGGTCAACCCTCTCCTAGTCTGGTGTCTACCCTATCTTCTAGCAACTAACACACAGACATAAGAGGGTCGACCCTTTCCTAGTCTGGGGTCTACCCTATCTTCCAGCAACACTTCCAGAACTTCACCAACAAGTAAGGGTCGACCCTAGGAGGGCTGGTGTCGACCCTAGAATAGAATTTCAAGCTTCCAAACAACTTTTCAACGTAAACAAGAGTGAACGAGCAATCCCAACAAGTTTAAATCAATTTTCACTCATCCAAAACAAAGATACAACAATACCAAAGATTCCCAAAACATAGTAAATGATTCAAATATACTTCGCAAAAGTTTTAAAAGGGGTACAAGTGCTACAACCTGTTAATTTATGATTTATCATGGAAGCTTCAAAGTGAGTGGATGGACATTTTAAGGAGTAAATGCTACCATAATTGATTGTTGACATTTTGGGCTTTGAAGAAGCTGCTAGGAAGGTGGGAGTAATCAAAAATAAAAATAATAAGTGTATATATACCGAAATTATTTATAGAATGTGACACACCTTTCATGAGAGGTAGGGCTACCCAACCCCACTCCTTCTGAGAGGTCTGTGTCTCGTTCTGTGTATACGAGTCGCACATAC